GCGGGGGAGCGGGGCAGGACTGCGGGGCCCCATCCAGGGGGAGAGGGAAGGGGCCTCCAGCTCCCCCCTCCGGGGACGGATCCAGGCGCCGCGACCCAGCTCTGCCCGCGGGGTGACCGCAAACAACAGCGATTTTGGCGGTTTATTTAAGCTTGTTAAACTTAAGGGAATTTTTGCATGAGAAATACTGATCAGCAGTGCTGCAGTTCATCTTGCACTGCCTGCTCTTCTTCCTACGATCCCGGTGAGTCTGTGCGATCCATGTTTTTTTCCCCACTAGACAATGAATGACTGGGCCCCCATAGCCAAGGAGTATGACCCCCTCAAAGCCGGGAGCATCGATGGCACCGATGAAGAGCCCCACGACCGAGCCATATGGAGGGCTATGTTGGCACGGTATGTGCCCAACAAGGGAGTTACAGGAGATCCTCACCTCACCCTGTTCGTCGCGAGGCTCAACCTTCAGACCACAGAGGAGAAGCTGAAGGAGGTCTTCTCCAGATACGGAGACATCAGGAAGGTCCGTCTGGTTCGAGACCTGGTCACGGGGTTTTCTAAGGGTTATGCATTTATTGAGTACAAAGAGGAGCGTGCTCTCTTGAAGGCCCACAGAGATGCCAACAGGCTGGTTATTGATCAACATGAGATCTTTGTAGACTTTGAACTGGAAAGAACTCTTAAAGGATGGATTCCTCGGAGGCTTGGAGGTGGGTTTGGAGGCAAAAAAGAATCGGGGCAGCTCCGGTTTGGAGGACGGGACAGACCTTTCCGAAAGCCCATCAATTTGCCAAACGTGAAAAGTGAGTTCTATGGAGAAGGATCAGCAGAGAAAAGAAACTGGTCTCGTGAAGGAACAAGGGACTGGAGAACCAGGGACCGAGACCATGAAAGGAGCAGAGACAAGCGATGGCCAGAAAGGGAGCGATCGTGGGCTTGGGGTGACAGTGAGAGAGACAGGGACTCTAAAGAGGAGAGAAGCAGAGGAAGGGAGAAGAAGGACAGAGACAGGAAGGACAGGGACAGAGACCAGAGCAGGGAAAGCGACACCAAGAAACAAAGAGACGAGGTTCAGCACAGGTAGGTGATGTTTGTTGGAGTAGGGTGTCTGCCCTTATATCCACAGCTGAGGTGTTGCCTCCAGCCTGGGGCTGTGAGCAGCATTCCCAGAACAGGGAGTTGTGCTGTTACTGTCCTGTGCCTGTGACTCTCTCCAGCAAGAATGTCTGTCTAGTTTGGTTGCTAATGCAGTTGGGATACATGTTGAATTCTTCAGAGAAAATAAATTTTTGTATTAATGTTTTTGGACTGCTGAGTGCTGTAAGAGATGAACAGCCATCTCACTGAAGTTGAGTACACACCTTGTTTGATACCCATCTGGCTGCCTTGATTAAGGTTCATGAGAGCTCCATATTTAATTATTTATGTGCCAGATGCCCACACTCATTTGGTGAGACAGATGTCCTTTATGAAATTGTCACTTGTTAAAGAAATAGCAACAAACTAAGCCTCTGAAAAATGTGGCCCAAACCAGAAGCTGGTGGGAAGTGACTTCATTTCCTGAAGACACTGGGACAGGTGAGATCTTTAGTATCATGGCTAACTGAGCTGCACTCTGTCCTCTCCCCCTCTCTGCCATTGAAGACCTTCCTGCACAGGGTTTAAATCTTGTTCTGGACACTGGGCTTTGCTGCTGGCTGTGGCTGAATTGGGTAAAACAGAGGAGAAAGTGCCTCCTGTTTCAGAGCCTGGATGTGTCTTCCATTGAGGAGCTTGCAGTGCTTTATAGAAAAGGTTCTGTCACATTCTTTGTCATCGCGTTCCATTCCTATATATTTCCTAATGTATCTTACATTGTATTTTTTGGTCAGCCTTTGAATGGTCCTATCCTAAACCTTGCCCAGTTTGAGACTTTATTTCCCTGAAGAGTTGTACAAGCCTTTTTCAGGGAAAGGACACAGACCTGTGTGCTGCAGCTCCAAGAAGTGATGGTATTAATTTTCCACAAAATAAAAAGGACACAAGTCTTGCAGAAACACCTGTTTTTCAGAAATATTTATTAAACTGTTAAAATTATTTGCTGCCCAACAAAAAAACAAACCAAAACAAAAACAAACCAGAAACATTTCAGTGATCCTGCACGTTGTGGACAGGATTATTATGCCCCTTACCTGGCAACATCCTGACCCCTTTTCTAAAAGCAGATTTTACTTGAATATTGAGAAACAATACATGACAGATCTTCAAATCTTTACATACTATTCCCCACAGGCCATCCTCCCTGATGACACTTGGGAGTGTATAAACTCGGGCATTTTTAGCATGGGAATGAGGAGTGGAGTGGTTAATGCTAGCAGGTCAGGAGTAACTAATTCGATTTTTGAGGCAATGGGCTACAGAGAAGAGAGGGGGAAGGCTGCACTGCTCACTGCCATTGTTTGACCTGACAATGGGGGATGAGCTTTATGTGCACTAGGCTGGGGATCCTTTGTAAAGCAGCAGCTTAGGGGCTGGGGAAAACCGGTTTGGTCTGTCTTTGTTATCCCAGCTCATTGCTTTCAGCTATTTCAGACGAGATGTGCTTACTCAGGCCGTGCATCTGCTGCATCCTTGCATTGTTTCTGAACACTGCATCTCCTAAATGTGCCCAACGAGTGACTCCACAGGCTTCACTCACGATTTACTTTTAACTGCCTGATATAACTGTAGTGTAATTCTTTTTTTTCTAGTATGAAAGTGAAATCGAGATCTTAGCAACTTGATTATCATTAAATTTAGACACTCCCCCCTTTTAAGAATTGCTTTTCACACAGGAGGAGGGGGGGAAGTGCCACTGCTCTATGGATACAGCTTCCTTCAAGCATAAAACTTTAAGATATGTTACCAAAATGTAACCAGGCAAAAGTGTATCTGCCTAATACTGACATCAGATGCTACCATCACTATTTCCAACGCAGATGTCTTTCATGTAAGGCCACATTTCCTCCCTGCCCCAAACTGCAGTGACACCAGGGAGGCACAGTAAACACTCTAACTAGATGATGTGGAAGGTCCATGTTCAAAATGAAGCACAGTGACAGTCAGGGGCAGAGCAGCATTCAGCCCACCACTGCCAAGAATGGTTTCTGGCAGTTTCACTTGAGATAGGCTAAGAACCATTTGCTGCTTATAGTGAAGAATCCAGTCTTGGACCACCCTGCATTGAGAACAACTGCCCTGCATTAAACCCTCCAGCTTGCTCTCATCTAGTCCCTTGAGACTTCCTCCTGTGTTCAGGAGGAACTTTTCTCCAGCCTGAGCACTGTTTCCTGTTCCTGGTGCCACTCCTGAGAAGAGGCTCTAAGCCAAGCAGATGTAGTTGTTGGGGGTAAAGAGCCAACAGCAGCTCACAGCCCCCTGCTCTCAGCTACGTGAGCAGAAGTTGCCTTCAGCCCTGTAACTAGACACTCCCCACCAGCAGCTCTTGTGCTTCACAGACTCGCCCAGGTACAGCCAAGTTCACAAATTACCTCAGCACCTTCCTCATTAGGAGCCATGGATGTGTTCACCCTCCCCCTGGCCAGGTACCCTCCTGGAGCCTGCGGTGCAGGGGCAGAGTGTGTTCCGACCCCAAACTGTACGCAGCAGTTACACCTCATGGGGCTTTAGTGTTGTTGTTGTTGTAAGTGCAGCTGAGGTCTTGCAAGCTCAACTGCAAAGCAGATTGAAATCCCCCCTCTTGGCAGCTCAGCTGTGCTGGGCTTTTGCTGCGAAGGTAAGCCCCTGTGACTGCAGGCCACCCAAACATCAACCAACACCAGTGGAGCAGCCTGCAGAAGGAAAATTAATTGCTCTGCTCAGGTAGTGTTGAGACAACTCAGAAAACATCTCTAAGTCAGTTCAAACAGTTTACGTCAGCTAGTTGAGGATGTCTTTTGCTATGAAGCCAGGCAGTATGTACACAGAGTTGTCTTAAGTAGACAGAAAAGTGGAGTGTGACTTAATTAAAAACCTGTCTGTGGGAAAGAGACCTAATTTCTGTACAGCGGCTGTTTGCTGCTCTAGGAGGAAGTCCCTGGTAAGAAGGAAAAAACTCAAGTGTTAGAATTCCTCCTCATAAGCAATTTGCTTTCCATTAATACTGCAGAACTCATGGCAAAACGCAAGGCACGCTCACCTCATACATTGGTTTCTTCATGCTTTAGGCACTATAAGCAGCAAGGGAAATGTACACTCACTATCCCTCTCAAGGCTACTCCAGTTTATCCATTTGCATCAGGTGATTTCCAAGTGGTTTGACACCAGCTGAACTTGATGGGACACAGAAGTGCTGTGACCTGCCCTGGAGAGGGGCCAGCTGTCATATCCCTCTTGAAAAAAATTACAGAAATAAAAGGCAAACAACCAGTAGTGTTAACAAACAGGGAAGAAGAGTCTCCGCCACTAGATATTGTACACTGCAAACAAACCTCTAATAATGGCACAGGTCCTTTTTTTTTGGTTTAAAGAAGCTTGTGTTACTGTAGTTAATGCATGAACAAGACCATAGACTTGTTATTCAGCACAAAACAAGTCATCTAGAAGCTTCCACATCCCAGAGCATCAGTGACTGTTACGACAGAGTTTGGATTCTGTTTTCAGCAAACAGTGACCAAGTGAACAGGGAGGGATCCCTTTTGAGTACATCTGAAACACAGCCACTGAGGTGTGCAGGGCAAGTAAAAGTGATGAGCTGCCAGATTCGTTTACAGAAGCTTCTTGTTACTAGACTGTCAAAAATCTACTGCAGTAAAGTGAACACCTCAAGTTTTAGTCACAGGTGCTGCAGGGCTTCTTGTCCTTGTTCGGTGTAGGTGTCATCTCTATTTGAGTTTGACCATTCTCCAAAAGTATCCTGGAAGTGGACATTTCTCTGGGATGCCTGCAGACGTTTCTTATCACGAGAGAAGAAACTAAACCTTCCAGGAAGGGAGGAGTAAGGGACGGGAAGGAAAAGAAAGAAGACTGTTTACCATCTTGAAAACACTTCAAACACCCATCACGATACACGGCACAACAAAACACAGAGCAACAAAAATCTCTTTGCATCTGCAAAACTCAAGGCAGTGCAGCCTGATGAGAGTGCATGTCAGAATGTTATTAGAGATGAAGTCATTGCAATCTCAAGCAGTTTGGCCACGGAAGCTTCAAATAAGCTCTAAATGCTGTTGACTCTACAAGGTGCAGGTATCATTTGAGATGAATATTCCCCCTTCCCCAGCGCTGAGGTAAAGAAGCAACACAACACACGTTAGCCTCTTGGCATAAGTAAAGTGGTATCTTTGGCATGTAGGATGTACCATAAGGCAGAAACAGATAATGTTTTAAAGGGAAATTCGCAAGAAAATCAGCCTCCACATTTTTATCAAGTGCACAGATTTTGATGCATTGACTTGATTCTTGCAAAAAAAAACAAAGGAAGAGGTGCACAAATGTGCACAAGAGTTTGCAGGAGGAAGGTTCTGAACAGTTGCACACAAGTGTGCACGTCATTTCCTGTCACACGGGTTGGGTGCTCTAAGGGAATGACGTACACACGAACCAACAGCCATTGAATACAACAGCAAACTGCCAGCTGGCAACAGCTAAAAAATGCAGTTGGAAAAGTCCAGAGTTAGCTTCTTATTTGTACAGGATGAAGTTACTTGATTAGGGAAATTCCATGTTCGTCACGAGTTCAGTACAAGAGGTGTTAGTGCAACATTCAGGTCTGCTGAGGAATGCAAAAGTTGTGGTTCCAGCTACCAAAGGTTCCAGTTGGCTGCACACCTTTCTGGTTGTGATGGAGCACCCCAGGAGGTAACTATTGTTTGGCTTGCTCAGTACCAAGCGTAACACAGTCCTGATCCAGGGCAGGAATTGCTGAATGCTTCTACAGCCAGAGATTATGCAAATATAAACTCAACTTTTGACAGCTGATGGAGTATTTGTCAGGGCCTAAACCTGACCCTGTGTCCACCCCCACCATCCTCAGCATTTCTCCCTCCACTTTGTCTCCCCTCACTACAATGATCCCAACTGTCCAGGTTGCCTTGTGCCAAGCAGGGAGTTCTGCTTCCATACCTCTAGTCACATAGGAGGCTGTGTTTGAGTGTCAGGTGAGGTTTAAGGCAGCTTTCCTGAAAGAATATCCTATCATACATACAGGTAAGCATGATGATAATGACTAAGAATATTAAAACTATTAAGAATAATTCTTTATTGATTAGAAACTGATTAGAAACCTACCCAAGTGCAATGCCAGATGACTAACAGTTAGAATGACAGTTGCTAGCAGAACCTGAACTTTTGCATTTCCTTGCTTCAGATGTGCAGCCCTAATAGTAAATAAGTCTTTTGCACTTAATTAGCCTCATACTTTTCTACCACCATCATCACAGGAGCTCATAAATTCCCACACATATGCTGTGTCTTTTAAGGGCCAGACCCAATTCCAGCTGATGAAAGAAGTGTTTAGTCACTGGAGCTTTCTGCTGAGCATGTTTGGTCCTGCATGGTCAGAATTAGTATCTTGAAGGCCACACAAAGGACTGCTGTATTTATGCAGTAATTTTCAAATGTCAAATTTCAGTAATTTTTCACTTTATCATGAACTTCAGAGAAAAATATGATAATAAATTCTCGACATGAAGCAGAAGGGTTAGGCTTTTTTAATTCCTTCTGAAACAGTGAAAATTGTTATGAGAAAACTGTCATGGAGAATGTTTGTAAAAAGCATGTCTGTGTGGGGAGGAAGAAAATGTAATTACTGTGTTGCTGCTGTAAATACAAAGATCTCTAAAGCAGCAGTTCTCATGCAAAGTGAGTTTGCATTAACAATTATCAGTCCATCTTCCAGAGACAGCCAAGAATAGGATGAGAATTGATTTTTGAGAGTGTTTGCTCTACTCCAAAACACATAATTAGAGACAAAACATACACTGCATAGATAGAAAGGCATGGAAGCAACAACCTATATTAACACTGAAAATTAATGTAGATATCAGCCATTACATTCTGTAAATGTAACTGGTTTGTAACAAGTCCTGAGACTGACAGGAGTTTCTTCTAAAGCATTGGTGTGACTTATGAACAGGCACACTCAGTAAGCAAAATGAACAGATGCTGGTTAAAACTTCATACTGCAACCATTTTCTAAGGAGTAATGACTGGTTTAGCATGGAGACATTAAGGCAAAAGGTGACAAAATGTCAAGACTTGAGGGTGAGCATGGAGGACTAGGATGAGTCGTGTACTGACTGGTCATTCTGATTGGCACTTTGTTCTGCTGTGATCCCACAGGCAGCCGATGAGAATGGAACCAGCAGTTCAGGTTAACATGGGGTCATGCAAAAGGAAACCACGATACCAAACATTTGAAAATAAACAATTCCTACAAGGGACACAAGTCTTCTTATTGGCTGCAATGTGGGATCGTCTGGAATCAATCCAGCTGCTACCATGGGCATTATGGCTGTAAAGATCCTGGTCAGGAAAGTACAGACACAGAAGAGGTAAGACTGGAGCAAGGGAAAGAAAAAGCATTCCATTAAAAAGAAAAGAGGCAAACATGATACATGGGGTTACTCTGAATTACCACACAGGACACGTTACAGGAAGAGGTGGATCTGCATCACCCAAGACAGCTCTCAGTGAAAAACTCTTATTTAGAAAAAGCAGTCACTGAAACAGTTTAAATTGCTTTTGAATTTTTTAAAGATACCACTTTTCTGTTGTGAGGCAGCCTGCAATCTGGGTTGATTTCATCAAGGTGTTACCACCTCTAGCAATGCAGAGCAGAGTGCACATTTTTCTTCCCAGGAAACAAACAGGCACATACAGAATGAAATGAGGGATGAAGGTGTATGTTAAGAAATACAAAACAGGGCTCTGTTGTGACTACTGAGTGTTTGCTCAGAAAACAGGGTTAGACAGGACCAGCATTATAGTTAAAGATTTTACAAATGTTACAGTTGATAGTTTCAAGTTAAAAACCCACACCACAGGGTTGATCTTAAGTAACCTCCTATGCAAGCTACTTGGTTAAAGGGCCTGGGTATCTGTCCCAGAAGAGCCTGCTTCACATGCAGAGATGCCAACTGCTGCAGCTAAATACTCATTTGAAACCTTGCAATTCCTTTAGCAGAAACACTTTCATAGAATTGTGGAATGGTTTGGGTTGGAAGGGACCTTAAAGTTCATATAGATCCAAACCCCCAGTATGGAGAGGGACACCTCCTGCCAGACCAGGTTGCTCCAAGCCTTGAAAACTTCCAGGGATGGGGCAGCCACAGCTTCCCTGGGGAATCTGTGCCAGTGTCTCAGCAACCTCATAGTGAAGAATTTCCTCCTAATGTTTAAGGAAAAGGAGGGGCAAGGAAGGGAATCAATTACACCCATTTCACAGGTGCAGAAGCAAAGATGACTGAAGGGACCTGAGCAGTGCCACCAGGCAGCAGGGGTAGGAAAAGGGACACAAACAACAACATCTGTCCCTTTGGTCTCTCAACAAGCAACACTAATGTTGGACAGGGGTAACATGCCAAGAAAAATCCTTTGGAAAGTCATCCTTGCAAATACTGACATACAAATCCAGAGGGAGGGTTTGAGGTTCTAGCTGGGCAGCAGCAAGACTGTTTCTTTGTAAGAGTTCAGCACTTTCACTACGCATTATACAACTCATGCAAGGTAGAGGTTGAGAGAGCACCCTGGGCAGGTGCTCTGTGCCAGCCAGCCCCACACAAACCTGCCAACACACCTTCATCCATACCTGGAACACCCTCTGTTTTTCTAAGGATTCTCCTCAGAGGTTCTCCCTTGTGCCAAATAATTTTTTGAACTGTGGACTAATGTCAATTAAAGATTAAGTTGAAATCATGAGAGACATTTCACTTGTGACCAAAGGCAGCTTTCCCCAACACAGTCACTCTAACTGCTATTCTTAGATGCCAAATTAAAATAAACAAGCAAACATTGTTGCATCATTAGCAGTAGCTACAACTTCTATTTTCAGGCATTGTGGCAGGGTCTGTTTGCTGCAGAAATTAGACATACACATCAGCTTTTGTAGACTGCAATTATAGGAATAAAACTTATGGCTGTTTCAGGCATTACATCAGTGACAAACAAGCATGTATACTTGAAGAGAAAACAAAAGGGTGTTTTCTGCTCAAAACAGAGGGAGCATTTTTAATCCTTCTGCTTTTCCTCCTCAGTAAAGCCTCCTGGTTACATTATTCCATCAAAACTCTGACATGTGATGTGGCAGAGATAAATGCAGACATCAGTCAGTCTGAGATCAGAACTCAGAGTTTGCCCCAGACGTTCAAACCCTGGGAGTGAAAAAATGTTGATTTCTCTAACTTCTGTTTCCCTTCCTTTGTGGGGATGCAGCACAGAAGCACCTGATGCCACAGGCTACATGGACATCTGTCTCATTCCCTGAGATACTGGGTGGTCAAGGAAAAGAGGGCACGTGATGCAGGCAAGCATGACACTTCTCTTGAGAGGACAGTGACAGAGTCACAGACTGCAGGGGGAGGAAGGGTGTCAGGACAGGACAGAACAGATGCTACACTTGGTGTGCAACTTGGGTTCTTGCCAGCAATGACATTTCCTGTTTTCTTAAAGCTCACCTGCAAGTAAACTCTTGATAACACACACAGAGAATGGGAGAAAGAAAAGAAACCCACACTAGGCAAATCCCATCCAGACAGGCTGCAAGAATGAGACAAACTTGAAAACTATTACTGTCCTTCAGGTTACTTCAGGGGGAAGTTTTATCTTCCCTTATTTAATGGGGCCAGAGCATGACAGCTAAAGGAAGTAATTTAATCTTAGCAGAAGGTTTAACATGGGCTTCCACTGTCTGGCAGAAAAGGATTCTTGCCTTTCCTGAAAGGGGACAAAACATGATTTTATGTTTTACTGTGTGTAGGTTTAGTTGTATGATTTTAACACAGAACCTGAGAAACAAAAATATTAGGCATGTGTCTGAAAATGTGCATTGATTGAATGCTCTGCTGCTCAACGAGTTTTCACTGTAAATTAACTGAGAGGAAGAAAGCACTGAGATAACTGGTTGAAAACACTGATGTACCTCCTGCCACAGCTCCCTGTGTTACTTACACATGGATCAGAGTGGAGTCAAAGCTGATACCTCACCAGCACATGTTCTGTCTCACAAAGCTTATTTACATTTTTGTGCTGCCTTTGCCTCATAAATCAAACATGGAAACTGCAATCAACACTGACAGCATAAGCTAAAATCCGCCACCCCCCCTTCAACAGGATAAGCTCTAAAAATTACTAACAGATCTTCAAAAGAGAAACTTTACATTAGGGATCTTGTGAGACAAAGTGCTATTATCATCACACTTGCAGAATGAGAACTTCTGTCCAAACTCTAAGTGTATTTTCTGGTCATGTGAAAGGAAGGATCTCTCAGTAAACAAAGCAGCAGAGTCAGAAGCTGGAATCTCCCAAAAATAATAAAAAGTGCTCTCCTGACTTCATGGTGTTTTGGATCAGTCCAGATCTTCCAACAGAACTTCCTCTCACAGGACTGCTGCTACTATGAAACAAGGCCTAAAGGTTACGGGGTCAGGACAGAAGACCTTTTTATGTGGAAACAAGTGACTCTTCCAAAATAACTTATACAGTTTAAAAAGTTAGGTTTTCAGTATCACAAAAATCCAAATACTTGTTATAAGGTTACAAGACTTAATTTGGAATAAATAAATGTACAAGGAGGGAGTTTCAACAGACAAATGGATTGGCTAACACTGATTTTATACTGAAGTGGTGCACTAGTAAATGCTTCAGATTCAACACTAAATACTTCACCAGAAGAAGGTGGGGTTCTTTATCCCCAAGAAAGCTGCCATCCAGCCATGGATTTGTTCAGGAAACAGAAGGTTTCTGTGCTGTACACAGAGTGCAAGTCAGGGTCTAAAAGGCAACAGGGAAATGGGCACGGGAGTCCTGGGGAAAGCTCTGTCTCCACGCTCAGCCACTGCAGGGCTGCAGCTGGTGTTACTTGGGAACAACACTCTTGGCTTGTCTTCCAAGCATGACCTGGGGGCCAGTGGTTCCTGACACTTCACCACCTTAGGATCTGTGTGTTAAGGAACTGGGACTTGCAGCTGAAGAGGAACATTGTTCCTCCAACCCTGGCACACTGAAGTCTGGCACTGATTCCGTGTTGGGCAGGCTGAGCAGTGCTCTGGGTAAGACCACACTTAGAAGCACCTCCCTGTGGGGTCAGGCTACATGGCCCAGACAAGAACATTCTCTGGGAAGATCAGGTGTCTGTATTTGAGAGCTCACCAGCTCATACCAGCTATAATAAAACACTGCAACCCAGGCTCTTTGGATTAGCCTGAAGACTGTACTTAAGAAGGAAACATTAGAACTGGCTTCTTGGGCACATGGAGTGCTGCTGGAGTCCCTGCTGCTGCCTGCACGTAGGGAGCAAAAGGCACCACAGCAAATAATCCAAGACTGAGAGTTGACCCAGAACTAGGCAAAAGTTTTGCCCCAAAGCAACTGCTGTTTCATGGTACCTATCAAGTGCTCCTTCAGCATCTCTCCCATATGCATTAGGGATGTAGTTATATTCATTTTTTAATTCTTTAAAATCATCCTGCCCATAGGAGACATTTAGTGTTTGCATACTATACCCAGCATCCTTAGAAAATATGCTACTTACAGTCGTTTGATTCCAGACTCAGGCTGAGTTGAGGGTTTTGGCTGAATTATGGGGGTAGGTTGAGGGGTTCTAGTTTCTTCTTCTGTTTCCTCACTTGAAAGAAAGAAAAGATAATTCATGTTCTCCTCCCAAGCCACGGAAGTGCTTTAAATTCTAAAATTTAATCTGTATTGAATAGTATTATTGATGAAGAAATGCAAAAAGATCTGTTCCAAGCTCGGTGAAATTAATGGGAGATTTTTCTGTCAGCCAAGGAACAGCACCTGGAACTGGGGCTCCTTTCAATATTATCTTCCCCTTGTGACAAGGAGAGGGAGAAGAGGAATACTTTGAATAAAAGTTCTAGAATTTTAATTTTAAATTCACTCTTATCCTAATTTTTGAAATTCAAAAGTATTAAATGTTTGTAATCCTATATTCAGGGGGAACCTGTGAGTTAGGGAAGGACAGAGTGTTATCAGTGTTAAGGAATGAGATTCAAACTGAAGCTTCCCCCTTGTCATCTCTACTTTAAGCCTTTGCAGAAATACAAGATTGTTGGACACTATTTAAGAGCACATTGTTTCTAGACCTGCTCTCTGGCTCCTCTGTGTATAGCATGCAACAGGAGAGATCTAACCTACCTTTTGTAATATAAAAGCTCCTCTTGAAGTAAAAATACTTTAGATTTTAATTCATTCCTCTCGTGCAGGACATCCCGGAGCTCCTGCAGCGTGAACCTTGGACGATTGGGATCTTTTAAGTCCATTGCCATCTTTTCTGACTCTGAGAGGCAGTCATCATTGTTTGGTTCTGTCTAGGAAGTGAAACATGGTCTTTAAACTTACCAGGCAAATGCATGTCTGAGCAGTTTGAACTAGCCATCGTTCAGGTCCTCTACTGTTGTGCCACTCAAAGCTGAGGAATTGCCCCACACATTTGCCCAAATAAACTATTTTTGCCAGATTTTCCTCAAATCAGCAGCCTGAGCAGCCTGTAGCCAAAGCAAATGTACCTGACTGAAGCCAACAAGCAATGTCCATTCCAGATCCTGCAGCTATTCTGGCTTTCTGCTTGTCACTGCAATTCCTGTCCAGCCATCAGCCTGGCACAGTGAGCAGGGAATGGCTCCTAATTAGAAGAGGCACCATTGCCACGGAACTGGGGAGCTGGAGAGGTGAAGAATGCATCCTTTCTCTCCAGAGACTGAGGACACTTTCACTCCTGCTGGCTCCAGGCCTAGGCTCCACAGCCCCATTTACAAAGCTGGATGTCCTGGCTGAATTAGCAGCAATGAAATCATCCTTTTCATTATTATTAATGCAGTATTTGCCCAATTCAGCTGTGACATCTTAACACAACACTGGCTGTCACATCCCAGGGGCCCAGGGCACCCCCTCAGCCTTCACCTCTGCTTCTTGATATATATTCCTGCCCATGACAAGTGAATCAGATGCTTCATTCTGCTGCAAACTATCAGGTAGTTGCAATCCTGCTTGGTACTAGAGCTCTTAGCACATCCAGCCAAACAGCCCTGTGTGATACTGCTCCTCAAAGTTCTTTCATGAACTTTCCTATTTTGCACTCTTCTAAGAGCAGCATTCAGAAAGGGAAATCCAGCACATTTGCTTTAGTAAGGCAGAAGTAGAGTCATATGCACAAAGAAAACTAATGGGAACCATAAAGAAGACCAAGGGATGCAGCAGATCAGAGATGCATCTTTTTCTCAGGAAGCTCCCCT